GGGACCCTCTGTTGTGATCCCTGTCAGGGCAGTCCGTGGTGGTAGCCGGGTACCATCTAGTTGTACTGGACTCGGTCTGGTGGAGGCCATGGTAGTTGTGGTCCACTAGTCCTTCAGACTAATCTTTCCCTTGTATCTTGTTTTCTTCATTCTCCCTTGCTCCCAAATGGGTGAGACCACTGGAGTATCTTAGACGGCTGCTCAGAGGCTTTTAAGACCCTAGACACTACTCACCAAGGTAGAATGTAGAACATTTTCTTTATAAACTGTGTTATGCCAATTGAGCTAGATGTTCCCCGAGTCAAGGCTCTTTGGTCTTCTGAAGCAATTATAATTCAACAGGGCTTGACAGCAGCACAAAGGGCAAAGCCTGGTTCTCTCTCAGTAGCTGGAGGCACCTGCCCTGCTCGGAGGTCTACAGAATGCTGCACTTAGGACCCACTTACCTCAGCACCTATGAGCCCTGGGGCATGCTTATAAATTGAGTGTTATAAATGTTTACATTATAAATAGAAGCAGCAACAACATTAACTACGGAGGAAAATCAGCCTCCAAAAAACTGCTATCCACTCAGACCCTGCTCGCCACACTTGGCGTAAAGTGGCTTTAGGACAGGCAAGGGGTTCTGAAGATTTTTGTTTCCTTCTGAGGAGAACGTCTACCTCTGCATCGCTGACGTATGCTATTTGGGAGTGTCAACTGAGGCAGTTCAAATAATCAATGCTGACAGGAGAGAAAGACAAGCTCTTTAAAGTAACCAAGACCGAAACCAGATAGGATTTACCTCAGATAAGAGTGTTTGAGTAACTCATTGTTTGCTATCTCTACTGCCCCTCAGAACTGCTAAGCTGGGAATAAAAAGAATGGCTAACTGAAGTGGCCTCCCACGTGACTTAGGTCTCAGGATGGTCGGTAAATAAGTGAACCCTCCCCATTATGTTAAGGTTTGCAGCATGAGGGAAGTTTTAATGAAGGACTGACATCTGTCTGTGCGTACGCCTGCTGTGGTTACCTGCCCTGGAGTCAGCCGCCGACTCACAGCGACCCCACGCCCAACAGAAGGAAATGCTGCCTGGTCCTGCACCATCCCACTGACTGGTTGCAGACTGGATTGTTGTGACCCACTGGGTTTTCACTGGCTGATTTTCAGAAGTAGATCACTAGGTCTTTCTTCCTATGCTGTCTTAGTCTGGAAGCTCTGCTGAAACCTGTTCAGCATCACAGCAACACGAAAACCTCCACCAACATGGCCGTGCATGAGGTGCACTGGCTGGAGATTGAACACGGGTCTCCGGCATGGAAGACGAGAATTCTACCACTGAACCACCACGGCCTTCTCAGCATCTGCCCAGGGCCTGATAAATGGTCCAAGGCTTTTACGGAGGAATAAATACAGAGTGTTAAAAGGTATACCAGTTGACTCCTAAAATTCCAACAACAAAAAAATAAATCAAATAAATCCACAAAAACCCAGGTTAATCAAAGAATTCCAAATCAGAGAAAAAAAATCCCTAACCCAAAACAAAAAAAAATCACCTGAATATTACATTGTTATTGACTCTAGAATGTTAGAGCCAGAAAAGTCGGGAGGAAGTTTTAATTCATTCAATCAACAAATATTTATTCACTGGCCTCCTCCAACGTGTCACAAAGCTGACATGAGCTGCTGACACTGAGAGGCAAACATTATTTGCTCAAGATGATATCATTAATTCATTGTCAAAGCCAGGACTCAAATTTAAGATCTCTACTTTCTTAAAAGACGAGAGCTTTGTTTACACAATGCTTCCAGGAAAAATAATAACAACAAAAGTTTGCCCGGCTCCTGCAGAGACGTGAGACCCACAGCAAATTAACTCAGATATCAGGGCTACACAGCTTTCCCAGTCACTGTATCCCCACCGTCTATACCACGTCTGTCGTTCCCCAAAGGAGGTGACTATATTTAGTTGTCTGAGCCACTGACATCATCAAGAGAACGAAGCCAAGGCTGCAGGTTCGGCCTTCACCAGGGATGTATGCTTAACAAGCGATAAGTGCAAACCGTCTTCCCTAGGGAATCGAACAGGTAAAAGCAGGAAGCAGCTTGGACGAGGGGTGCTGTCAAAGGACATCAAGTGCTCATCTCCATCCCTGGCCTCGGGACTCAGCATCAGGTCACCAGCCCACAACCCAACAGGCTGCACACTGACCCGGGCCCTCCCGTTACTTATTTCACGTTTCGGGTTATCAAAACTGAAAACCGAGTGCCACCACACACACGTGAACTTCTCCTTCCCAGGCTCACTGACCCACACCCAGCAATACCCCACATTGACGACCTACTGGACTTTGTTTCCACTTTCGGCAAAGAGGGTCTGACTCAAACTACTCGTCTGTCCCAGTGGGATAAAGCCAATGGGAATCTTACTGAAGGTAGCCTGGGGAAAAAAAGAAGAGGAAAAGTTTTATAATTGTGGGGAGAAGATCAGGCTGAGGAGACAGGCAGGGGAGTGTCCACTACCCTCCCCAAACCCCTAGAGGAGGAATCAGGTAACACCAAGAGAGCAGTTTTCAAGACACGGACGTCCATGAAAACACAATCACCTAGAATTTCAGAGAAATATTTGAGAACTCACTAATGGCAACTGGTTGATAGAAATTTAGCAAAGTCAATGAGGGTCTTGAACATATTAGGTAAATGCTTGAGTGCGACAATCTTTGAAAAAGCTGCAGATAAAATTCAGCCAAGAATGTCTGACATTTGTACGGAGGCTGATAACAGGTTTATAAACCATCTCAAGTATAGATGACGTGAAGAGGACAGGTAAGTCCAAGGAAGTGAAGGTAAGGGCAGAGCAGTTGATTTAATGGAACGCCACGGATACGACAGACACCTGACGGTTCCTAAAGGCTCTTCTGAGTGTGATGTTCTACATTACAGGCTGGATCCAATCTACCCCTGGGTCACTAACAAATGGGACTTGGGGGCGAGGGCTAAAGCAGTTCAACTTTAACAAAGGGATTGAGAAAGATATTCTTTTTGGTAGTTGTTATTTATGAAATATTTCTAACTATTTTAGAAAAGTACATAATATACTGTAAAAATGCCTGCATACCCACAACCCAGATTGAACAAATGTTAACATTTTGCCATATTTGCTTCAGATTTCCTTTAATAAATAAAATGATACCAATACAGTTGAAGTCCCCTCTCACCCACCCACCTCTCTTCCATCCCAGAGGTAACCACTATCCTAAGGTGGAGTGATTCCTTTTCACCCTGTTATTATTCTTTCACTACATATTTAAAAAACCTGTAGCCATCAGGTTGATTCCGACTCATAGTGACCCTACAGGACAGAGCAGAACTGCCCCCTAGGGTTTCCAAGGCTGTAATCTTTACGAAAGTAGACTGCCACATCTTTCTCCTGCGGAGCAGCTGACAGGTTCAAACCGCCAACCTCTGGGTTGGCAGCCGAGCAAGAAACCATGGCACTACCAGGGCTCCTTTATTTAGGCATCCGTTAATGACATGTGGTATTGTTTTCTGAATTTTAAAACTTTGTAGAAATGCACAACATCCTTTGGTAACCTGCCTTTGTTATTCAGTATCTTTGAGATTTAACCATGCAGATATTTATAGATCTAATTCACTCATTCACCTACTATATGGCTTCCAGGGTCGCTACGAGTTGGAATTGACTTGACGGCAATGGGTTCTGGGTTTCAGGTTGGCTTCCAGTATGTATAAATATACCATAATTTATTTAGGAAGGAATTCATTGAAAAGAACATTCTATAGAAGATTGTATATGTTAAGGAACCGTTGGTAAAAGCTATTGGCTACTCTGGGTTCTCAAAGCAGGAAAGCCTACAGTGGTTAATGCAGGTACTCTAGGCTTCAGGCAGCAGTACCTTCCTTTCTAAAACCCAGTTTGTGCCTGCCTTAAAATATAAAACAGGAGAAAACATAAAGGAAGAAAGTAGAAAGAGTTAAAAAGAATATAAAAGGAAAAGCTGAAATGCAATCACTCTTTCTTTCAAGCTCACCTCATCCACTCTTCGAAGAATTCCAGTAACAACCTACAAAGTTTAAAAAAAAATATATTATAACCTACATGTATTTCCTTTATCATAAAAGAATTTGATTCAGTTTTCACCAACCATAAACTCATTTCTATTTTCTTCCTAGAAATTCTGTCAAAAAAAGTATGGGATCTTACAACACAAGGTACTCTCCAGTAAGAACAGTGCTAAATCAGAGGTTTTACTGTTGACCTAGGAATACAAAAAAGATGAAAATAAAATAATTATAAAAACTCCAGGTTATATTAGCAGAATTACGTTGTAAGCTCTGTGAAATGGGTATAAATGTGATGCACACATCAATTACGCAAAAGACGCTGGTTCACTACTATGAAATAACACACATGGCAAACTAAGGGCTCACTATGCTCAGATAAGGAGATGCTCTGTACACTTTCTTACTGACGAAGACAAGGAGAGGGTACTTCCTCCATTAAAAAGTATTTTGAATTCTAACATCTAGAGAATTTCTTTCTTTCTCTCTATAAATACAGCACACGTCTTACAGAACCTGTGGAAAAGACCTGAAGGGAAAACAATCCCTCCTAACAGCCCCTGTGGATGGCCGTCAATAACTTGTGTGTAGTTTGGTATATTTCTTCCCAATCCTTTTGTTAATCAGTGCATATTTCTACATGCCCTGGTGGTGCAGTGGTTAAGCTCTCGGCTGCTAACCCAAAGGTTGGTGGTTTGAACCCACTAGCTGCTTTTTGGGAAAAAGACGTGGCAGTCTGCTTCCGTAAACATGACAGCCTTGGAAACCCTATGGGGCAGTTCTACTCTGTCCCATAGGGTCACTGTGAGTCAGAATCAACTCCATGGCAGTGGGTTTGGTTGTCTTGGGTGATGTTAAGGATTGAATTGTGCCCCCCAAAAATGTGTGTCAGTTTGGCTAGGCCGTGACTCCCAGTATTGTGTGATTGTCCACCATTTTGTCATCTGATGTGATTTTCCTACCTGTTGTAAATCCTACCTCTGTGATGTTAATGAGGCAGGATTAGAGGCAGTTATGTTAATGAGGCAGGACACAATCTACAAGATTATGTTGTGTTTTTAATCAATCTCTTCTGAGATATGAGAAGCCAGCAGACAGACATGGGGACCCCACCAAGAAACAAGAGCCAGGAGAACAGCACGTCCTATGGACCCGGGGTTCCTGCGCTGAGAAGCTCCTCGATCAGGGAAGATTGATGACAAGGACCTTCCCCCAGAGCCGACAGAGAGAGAAAGCCTTCTCCTGGAGCTGGTTTCCTGAATTTGGACTTCTAGGCTCTTAAGACTGTGAGAGAGTAAATTTCTCTTTGTTAAAGCCCCCCTTGTGGTATTTTTGTTACAGCAGCACTAGATGACTAACAGGTGATTATACCAGATGCGCAGTTTCGCATCTTTCTTTAAATGCATTTTGTAAAGTAAAAACCAAACGCCAAACGTGTTGCCACTGAGTCGATTCCAACTCCTAGTGACCCTAGACAACAGAGCGGAATTGCCCTGCAGGGTTTCCAAGGCTATAAATTTTTAGGGAAGCAGACTACCACATCTTTCTCCCGAGGAGCAGCCGGTGGGTTTGAATCACCAACCTTTCGGTTAACAGCCAAGCACTTAACCACCACATCACCAGAAAGGCTGGTGCAAGTCCCTCCCCTTTCTCTACCTCACTGGACTTCAGGGGTAAGTGGGGTGGGCTGCCGTGAGGTCTACTTCATTCTTGCTTGGCACTCTGTAAGTATTCTTCACACTCCATTAGAAAGCCATAAAAACAATTACAAGATCATTAGCACAGACTTTTTCAAAGAAGCTCACTCAGACTCCCATAACTGCTACATCAAACACAGGACTAGGCCCTGGTTGCGGCTAGCTTCGGATCCCGTCAGATCCCTGACAGCTGATGGAAGCCACCAAGTGGTGGCAAAGGTGGCCAGAAATGAGGTACAGGTGTGGAGTAAGGGGTGCAGGATCGATGCTGGAGCAGTGGCGGGTCGCCTGCACTGGGCTCCTTAGGGCGTCTATGCGACCAATGTGCTAGGCGGCTGCAGGGAAAAGAACAGCATTTCCAGGGCAATCTACCTCCTGTCCTTATTGGGCCAAAGGTAAGCAGTCAGGACCCATGATTTTAAAGCAAAGGCAGGTGCCGAGATCTGAACATGTGGACCTCTTCCTGTACTGTACATTCAGAGATAACATTACCTGTGAGAATGGGCACACTTGTTTTCAAAGGAACCTTTACTTAAGTTTATCTTACAAGAAGCATTCCTCACAGATGAAACTATGATCCCATCACAAAGAGGGCTACGTCATAAAAGCCTCCAAAATATAACAAGCTTATCCCACCCAGCAGCACCATTCAGTCTCTTGGGTCATTCCATTTAATCGCATTTAAATGTAAAAAGAATCTTCTAGGTGAGGGGTAGAGGGCTTACACAAAGCAATGAAGTAAGAGTGCATGAAGAAAATTTCAAGCTCTACTTCCTTCAGAGGAACAAATCCTAAGAGAATGGACCACAAAGAAGGAAGTTCCTTAAATCAAATCACTCTGTGCCACTGCTCTGAGACCTCACCTCCATTCTCCTCACCTGCAGGGTAGTTTCAAACGGAATCAGTCATACCTCCTGCAGAGTCCCGTCTCCTCCGGCGACAATGACCACGTCTGTGTGCTCCATCAGCTCCAGGAGCTTCTTGGCTTGTCCCTCATAATCCGTCTGAAATACAAAGGAAGCCTTGGGTAATTTTATCACCCTAGGACCACAAGGACAAAGGCTAAGTGATGTGAGATATTTTCTTTAAGTTTTATATCGCATCTCTTCTTAAATTCTACATAATTGATAGGCATGAAAAACTAAAATGCTAACATAGCACTTATGTAACTATGTATAGACACTTAGAGCTGGCAGGGACTTCGGACAAGTCAGCTCCTTGTTTCACAAACAGAAAACCCAAGCCCAGTGATTTGTCCGGGTATACAGCTAGCTGGTCACAGGCCACGTTTCCAGTCCAGGGCCGGTTCCACCCGGTCCTTTGCCTGGGGCCTCCCGCCCGACAGCAGGAAGCCAAGTGTATGTGCCAACAGGGAGCACAGACAGAATGAAAAGAGGACAGATGCCGGAGCCCAAGGGACCTAGGGTAAATCTCAATGCTGCCACTTTTTAGCTGAGTGGCCTTAACCTCTCGGGATCTTAATTTCCTTCTCAAGGAAAGTGTGTGAGTTGGGGGAGGGGTACCAACAGCTTCCTCCTAACACTGTTGTAAAGCAGCTCGCAGGTGACTGTACACAGCAGGTACTGTGGCAGGTAAGAGGAGGTGCCTACTGTTTTGCAATGATTGGACATAATGAAGCACAAGTATGATTCCAAGTAGTCAAAGAACGGCATCTAAGACGAAGTATTTTTATTGAGGACAGTTCATCTCAGACACGTGCGCAGACTTAAACGAGCCACTTAACCACCAGTGAGGTGTACGCCTCGGAAACCAAACACGCCGTTTTAACAGACGCAGTTCAACAACTAACGCAGACAATGCTCTCTCCAGCTGACGCTGCGCTGACCCCGTGGAGCACAGCTGTGCTCTGACACACACGGGTCGCCATGGAGCGGAATCAACTCCAGCACTGGTACCAGCGGACACTCTAACAGGCGGACGTGGACTGCAGACGGGCCGCGGCACCTGAGGCCACAAGGCCGAGCGCAGCACTGACTCACAGTTCACACGGGGAAGCAGAAGTCCCTACACTGCTATGTTTCATTGAAGATGAATCGTCCTACTTTTTACTCTAAAAATGGAACGACTGGCTCTGATCTTGGGATGAGAATTCCAAATGAATTAAAATAAAATAAAAAATGGCCTAAAGGGACACAAGGAGCCCTAGTGGTGCAGCGGTTAAGCGCTCGGCTGCTAACTGAAAGGTCGGCAGCTTGAATTCACTAGCTGAGCTGCAGGAGAAAGCTGTTGGCAGTCCGCTGCCATAAAGATTACAGCCTTGGAAACCCTATGGTGCAGTTCTACTCTGTCCTATAGGGTCCCTATGAGTCAGAATCGACTTGACGGCAACGAGTTTGGATGCTTTGGTTTTAAGGAGACACAGGAAAAAGTCACAGGCACTTTGGGGGAAGCCGAGTCCAGCAGGAGGCGCCCATTTTCCCTGACAGTGGTGCTACTGCACCCCCAGGGCTCCTTCATGTGAGGCAAAGGCAGGATTTATCAGCACCAACAAGCGCTTCCCGGAGAATTCGTGACTTTAAGCTGGTCCTCACCTAGGTAACGCTACCTCACAAATTCACACTGCCTGGGTAATCTGAAACACCTCAGGATAATAATCTGATGCAAAGAGCTTCCAGAACTTCCTTATCTGATACACTGAGAAAGAACAGCATTCCTTCTGGGGTATTTATGCTAAAAATACCTCCCCTGAATCTGCACACGACAGAACAGCAGATGAACCCAAACTGAGGGGCATCCTACAAAATCAGTGACCTGCACGCTTCAAAACCGTGAAGGACAAGAAAGACAAGGACCGAGGGGCTGTTTCAGATTAAAGTCGCTAAAGCAATGTGACAACTCAGTGTAACATGGGGTCCTGGATTGAATCCTGCACTAGAAAAACTACTTCTTCTTTTGTTACAGAGGACATTAGTGGAATGACTGACTTAATTTGAATAAATTCTACAGATTATGAGATAATAGTACTATATCAATGTTAATTTCCTGATTTTGATAATTGCTCTGTGGTTATGTAAGAGAATGTCAATACTTAAGAGTAAAGGGACAATATTTCCCTAACTTACTCTCCAAAGATTCAGAAAAACAATAGTAGTGTGTGTGTATGTGTGTGTATATGAGTGTGTACGTGGGGTGTGTGTGTGGGGGTGTGTGCGGGCGTGTATACAGACACACACAGAGAAAGAGAGGGAGAACGACAGAAGCATGGTAAGAGGTTAATATTTGGGGAATCTGGGTAAAGTACATACGGAAATTCTCCAAATTACTTTTTTGACTTTTCTTAAGTTTGAAATTATTTCAAAATTAAAGTTAAAAGAAAATAAACCCTGCAGAGGAACAGTTTCTATTGAGGTATAAGAAGAAAACATTAGCATTTCTATTAATTTTTTAATCTCATCCTTTTAAACTTCTATTTTCTATGTACTTGATATAATGTACATAATATATTAGTACTTGTATATAATTTATAAACATCTCAAATTAGAAAAAAATAATAAATAGGTTCCAGGAAATTTGAACGTGGACTAGACAGCCATCAGGTGATATTAGGTGAATTATTATTTTTGCTAGGTATGATAATGACATTGCAGTTACATAGAGAAGTTATCTTTTTTTTTAACGTATGCTAAAATATTTAGGGGTAAATGAGAGTATGTCTGTAATCTCCTCCAGGGAGTCCTGCTACCGTGGAAGAGGCCTGGTGGAGACACATTCACCTGCCAGCCATGTGAGCAAGGCCATCTCAGACTGGACAGGCCAGCAGGAGAGCAGCCTCAACACAGACGGCTGAGCAACAGAATCGTGAGCACAGGAAGAGCCGCTGTTTTACGCCACTATGCTTTGAGGCAGTTTGCTATGAAGCAATAGATACCTGGTATAGAAATACATCTAAATATATCAATAATTACAATAAATGTTAATAGACTAGATTGTTCAATTAAAAGACATAGATTATTAGATTGAGTTTTTTTTAATATTCTGTTTTCATGCCTTTACCAAAGACACATCTAAGATGTAAGGACAAAAAAAGGTTAAAAGTGAAGGGATAGAGTAATTATACCAGGCAAAAACTAACCAAAGGAAGCTGGTATAGTTACTGTTAATACCAGATAAGACAGACTAGGGCAAAAAAGGTGGTATTAGCGCTAATGAGAGTCATTCTATGAAAGCGTCAAGCCACGAGAAAATAATTCTAAACTTGAGTGTACCGAATAACATAGCCTCAAAATATAAAAAGCAAAAACTGACAACTACATAGAGAAATAAATCCACAAGCAGAGTAGGAGATTTCTAACACTCTTCTCTCTATAATTTATAGATAAACCAGATAAGAAAATCAGTAAAGACATTGAAGATTTGGCCCACAAAATTAACAGAACTTGATTTAATGGACATATATAATATAGAGAACACACAGCCCTGGTGGCACAGAGGTCAAGAGCCCAGATGCTAACCAAAAGGTCAGCAGTTCAAATCCACCAGCTGCTCCTTGGAAACCCTATGGGGCAGTTCTACTCTGTACTATAGGGTTTCGCTGTCAGTTGGAATCGACTTGATGGCAACGGGTTTGTTTTTTTTTTGGTTATATAGAACATAGTACCTAACAACTGATACATATTCTTTTAAGGCACACACAAAACATTTATAAAAACAGACCACATGCTAGACCACAAAACAAGCCTCAATAAACGTTAAAACGCTGGAACTATAGCGCCCATAACAACTTCACCTTCTAAGAGTAGGAACTCCACATCCTGTCTCTCAGATGAAAGGTCCATCAGCTTCTCCATGCCTCCACCTAATCCTATTCTGAAAATGAAAAGCTGACGATGTTTTAAAAAAACAAAATCGCTTGTATTAACTCCTCAAGGACACAGTACTAACTTCTTTTGTTGTCTTCTTAGGTGACAAGGGATCTCTGCTAAGAATTCGGCAGGGAGGACAGGTCATGGGTAGCAGCTTGGGTAAACACACCCTGGCGCCCTCCTCACCTTGACGATGGTCACGTCCATGCCAGACAAGTGTAATATTGGGGCAGCATTTTTTTCAAACAGTGTCCTGGCTTTCCTGTAGATAAAAGAAAAAATAAAACTGTTTCAACATGAGCTCCTCAAGAGGGAGAACAAAAGCCCAACCATCTTCTCTAGTCTAGAATAAGAAATAGACTATTGAACACAGGTTTCCTTTATTTGTTCAAGTATAGGAAGTTTACCAGTGTGCAAACGGTTAACATGCTCAGCTGTTAACCAAAAGGTTGGAGGTTTGAGTGCACCCAGAGGCACCTCAGAAGAAAGGCCTGGCAATCTAGTTCCAAAAAATCAGCCACTGAAAACCCTATGGAGCACAGTTCTACTATGAGACGTATCAGGTCACCATGAGTGGGCACAGACTTGAGGGCAATGGGTTTTAATCTAACAATAGAGGGCTGAACTAGTGCTGCTGCAAACACATCTCCATTTTCACTGCTGGACTGACAAGGAAGAAAGGAGCAGTTGGAAGTGGATCAAATCCATATCCAAGAAGCAAAGCTCTGGAGAAGTCTCCATCTGCCATTATCAATCACAACACATCTGTAATCCCCTTAAGGTTAGTTTAAGAAACGAGATTTGGACATTTGGGCCTATACTTGTGCCTTTACATGACGCTACGGGTTCAGAAAATCTCTAAAACAAAAGTGAAGACTCTTTTTTCTTCTTCTAATGTTCCATATAAAAGACTGAAAAGCAAATGTTATCGGTAAGAAATGTATTATTCATTTTATAATTAAGGGCAAGATAGCACCGGGGTGAAGTAACAACTTCACGTATTTGTAACAACTTCCACGTTCACGCACACAAAGTAATTATTCTTTAATGCATTATTTACTAATGTGCTAAACACAGAGTTACCTCATTCCCTAAAGCTCATGTAGTTTTAAACCAGTACTACATAATGAAACAGCTACGTGACGAATTATAAATCATGCGTCGGGACAGCGCCAAGATGACAAAAATGGGGCAGTTAAAGTGAGAACACAGTGCTTCACAAACCACGTGGGAGAGTTTCAGAGCCGCTGCCTCCGGACGGCGTGGAGGGACTCGCCTTGTTAGAGGGACGGCGCCTCCAGAAGGCAGGCTTTCCTTTCGTGACAGAGCTGGCCTTGCCTTTGGATAAAGGTACCGGACTATACTTTTGGAGTCCCCAGGTGGTGCAAACTGTTAAGCGCTCAACTACCAGTAGAAAGGCTGGCGGTTCAAACCCACCCAGAGGTACGCTGGAAGACAGGCCTGGCCATCTGCTTCCGAGAGGTCACAGCCTTGAAAGCCCGGTGGAGCAGTTCTACTCTGCACACGTGGGGCCGCCGTGAGTCGGAACTGACTTGACAGCAACTGGTGGTACTATACTTTCCTTTTCTCTGTAACTTCTTTTTGTTGTTGCTGAGAATACACACATCAGAGCACACACCAACTCAACAGTTTCCAAATGTACAATTCAGTGACATTGATGACATTCTCCGAGCTGTGCAGCCATCTCACCCTGCTTTTCCGTATTGTTCCTCCCTCATCAACATAAACTCACTGCCCCATAAGCTTCCCATCTAACCTTTCAAGTTGTTGCCGTCAATTTGACCCAATATAGTTAGATCTTAAAAGAGCACAATGCTCTAGGCAAAGACATTCTTTACCAGTTAAGTTAAATTACCGTTTGGTTTTAAGATGACTTCAGGGGATAGTTCTGACTTAAGTTTTAAGATTTGAAGATTATCTCAGGGCAATAGTTTCAGGAGTGGTGATATATACTTTTCAACAAGGATCCACTTTTTAAAAGGCAAATGTACCGACATGTAAAAATGTAAACATCTCTCAGAAGGAGGATGTCCAAATGACTGATAATAGCTTAAACACATCGTCATTAATTTCTTGATCAGAAACTAGCAAATTACTGACTGACAAGTCCTCTAAAGGAACAGGGCATGCACAGGTTACCAGAGGAGGCAGAAGCAGAGGACAGCACCTCCGGGGCAGGGGGAACAAAGTGCAGAATGTTTGGGACCTAGCCTCACGGTCAATAATGATGACATTAGCGGGGATGTTTCTCTTAATGAGTGACTTCTATGTACTGGAAATAATGCTGAAGACTTACAGGCATTACCTCATTTAATCTCAAAAGCACATATCCTATATGGTAAAATTTTACAAGGTATGTGCCATTACTGTTCTGATTTTACAGGTGGGTATACTGAGGACTGAAGTCAAGTAACCCCCGCTGTATCACAAAACAATGTGCAGACCAGGCTCCTCAAACCCCAAAGCCCACGCTGAGTTCTGCTCTACCTCCTGCCGCAGGCCACCACCGACCACTTAATCATCTTGGCACTGTGACTGTGTTGTGCCAGCACCTGCTTACTGGCTGGTGGCGTTTACTGTCGGGATTAAGGGAGAGTGATTGACAGGCAGAGGCTAGTGTGTTTATGGAGGAGGAAAGTGGCTGCAACAAAGCTGGGTGAATATGACTCAATCAGGCCAGGTAACAGAGCCCACTCAGACAATCTTTAGGTAAAACCCTTAAACTACTGGATTTAAAAGAAATAAGTATTGTTAAATGGGAACCTAATTTGCTGCGTAAACCTTCACCAAAAACACAATATTAAAAAAAAGAAAGAAGGAAACAAGGCATGACTTCAGGTCATATCTACGAAGGGGCACTCACGGGCGCCCAAGCAGCAGCCAGAGGCACACCTGAGCACAGAGCCCCGAGGTCCACAGGTCCACGCAGACAGCGTCAGCCTGGCCACCTGCAACCTGGCCCGCCCACTCCCCACACCTTCATCCGCACAACCCTCGCCTGCCCCGACCTCTGGGCCACCAGGCCAGTTTACAGGGCATCCTGTAACCTCATGGCCAGGGGCTGTGGCCTCGGCCAGGAAGGGTGAGTGCCCTCCTCTGCCTGCTTCAGGCTCCTCCAGGACCCAGCTCCAGGCCCACTTCTTCCAGAAGAAAACGCTTCTGAGCTCCCAAGCCCACAGCGCTCCTAGCCGTCTCTGAACTGAGTACGCCGACTCCGACTCACGGCGACTCTGTGTGCGTCAGAGCAGAGCTGTGCTCCCCAGGGTTTCCGATGGCTGAGTGCCTCTGGGTGGACTCGAACCTCCATCCTTCCCACGAGCTGCCGAGTGCAGTCACCCTATTGAGGTGGCCGCGTGATGGATGCACAGCGACAGAGCAGTGGGTCCCAAAGGCACTACTTCCAAGCAGATAAGGCTTCTCTGGGTGTGTTAATTCAGAAATGATTACTAAACTTCAGTTAGACAAGTCTGTTAAACATCCATTAGTTTTACAGTTACTTCTCAATGTTAACAGTTATTTCTACTTTATAACCAAATCTTGCTGATAGAAGATAACTCTTTTGGCCCCACACAATGTCACTAGCTGCCTGATGGTCTGTTTCTTTCCCCCCTAGAAAAACCAAATCTATAACAAATCCCGGACTGAACTGCCCTTTGCAAGCCGCAGGGTTAAGAAAGACAGTTGCCTTCTTCACTTGTGCGTTGGGAGGGATGAGCTGACTGCCAAACACCTGAAAAGGCAAACAGAGAAGGGGTAACTAAATGTCCTTTTATTCAGTTACTGAGCACACATCCTCTTTCATTCCAAAAGAATTTACTTCCCGCAAATACCGTATCTACTCGGGAAAATAAGGTTCTTCCCTGATCTTGTATTAAAACAGACATCATCCATGGAAGACAATAAGCTCTGTTTGTTTTAGGAGAGGGCAGTAGCTTTTCTCCTCTCTGCAAGATGTGTAGGTTCAGTACACACACAGCCAGCAAGGCTGGCCTGTCAGAGGGAAGTTTAATCCACTTATCTTCAGTTTCCAGGGTGCAATCTTTTTCTCCTTTGGCTGATTACCAAAGCTTATTCAAGAATCTTGGTGTTTACCAGTTAATCTTCCTATCTTTATACCCATAAAAGATAAACCTAATACTCCATTTCCCTCCTCTTCCTTGCAGCCATGTATGGTAACAGGAAAGGAGCCCCGGTGGCTCAGCAGTTAAGCGCTCAGTGCTAACCAAAAGGTTGGTGGTTCACACCCACCAGTCGATCCGCAAGAGAAAAGACCTGGCGATCTGCTTCCATAAAGATGACAGCCCACGAAACCCCGTGGGGCAGTTCTACTCTGTCACATGGGGTCGCTATGAGTGGAATCGACTTGACAGCACCCGACGACGGGGTAGCAGGAAAAGAAACAGAGCTCTTATTTCCTGAGCACCTGGTGCCTGCCGCTTTCACACACGTCATTCTGAGTTCTCAGAAACTAAGGGGGTATTAAAAAACCCCACCTTCACAGATGAGAGAGCCAAGGTTCAGGAAGACGGTTACTCACCATCGGGTAGTGAGTAAGTGACAGGCCTCGAACTCACATCTAGCTCCAAACCCAGGCGGCTCTAAGCTCTGGGCTCTACAGAGCAGTCAGGACGAGGCAGCGTGAAGGGTCAGAGCGCGAGGAGACGGAACCCCGCAGACGTGGAGGCGCTCACATCAAACAGGAGAGGGAGGACCTGACAGTCACGTGCGTCTGTTGTTAGCTGCTGTCCAGTCGGCCCAGACTCATGGCGACCCCATGTACAACAGAACAAAACGCTGCCCAGTCCTGCATCATCTTCATGACCACTGACAGGCTTGGGTCTATTGTTGTGGACACCGTGTGCGCTGAGTGCCTTTCAGCCTGGGGGCTCACCTTCCAGCATTTTATCAGACAATATTCTGTTGTGATCCATACGGTGTTTATTGGCTGATTTTCAGAAACAGATTGCCAGGCCTTTCTTCCTAGTCTGTTTTAGTCTGGAAGCTCCGCTGAAACTTGTCCACCATGGGTGACCCTGCTGGTGTTTGAAATACTGGTGATGCAGCTTCCAGCATCACAGCACCATGAAGCTACCGCAGTAGGACAGACTGACAGACCGGTTGCCTACTCTCTTCTAAAGAGAAAAACAGAGGTCTCCAGGGCTTCTGGCTAGCTTGGCATGGGAATCTCCTCAAATTTAAAGTGTACTTGAGTTGATTCTGAAACAACTTAGAGCCATATGAGGTAAAACATTTAAACAAAAAAGCAGCCAATTTTTTGAGACACAGGTTTAGAACAGGCGGCCCACAGTCACTAATCAGAGGCACTTATTAACAGCACCTGCTGTCACGGTCATCCACAAACACACTGCAGAAACCAGCGTGCTTCCCCACCCACCTCTCCTACTAAACGCAGACTCCGTTTGTTGTTTCAACTTCGTGTATTCTTTCTGGGATTTCTGACATCACAAGCTTAAATGACATGTAACAAAAAGGCAGCCTAGTTGTGGAAATTCACCCGCAGCTATAATGTACAAATGTGGAGGGAAGGGTGGAGCCAAAAGGTGGTCTTAAACTTGGAAGGATTTACCGTTCAACCACAGCCAGTACAGTCAGATACATATACAGTATCATGGGCTCAGGTAGCAATAGGCATGGGATGAGCCCGCTGAGCTGGTGAGATGGGCTTTAAAAATGTGAGTCAAGAGCTTCAAGAAGATTTGACTTTTGGAGGTAACACCTGTTCAGAATCCACATCCTGGGGGTTATTCAGGTCAGGGATGACTCAGGGTTCAGCCCAATCTTCAAGGACAACACAGACATGAATAAAATCCCAGAGCTCAACCAGTCCAGGACGTGCTCCTGAGACTGGCCCACAGGGAAGCAAGGCTAAGGGAGGGGGCGCTGGAACTGCTCCCCACCAGCTGGCTAACGTCCCCGGGCTCCACTCAGTTAGCCCTTAGTCCAATACACGGTGAGCCGTGGACACATGGCAGCGCGGCACCCTGGAGGAGCCTGCGTTCTGCAGGAAGAGACGGGGGTTACTTTTGTCACATGAGGTGGCTTACCTGAGCTTCCTGGCAGGCTGCCCTCCTGAGCAGGTTGTCACTGTCAAACAAACAGAGGAGAAGGGGGTTAGCTTTCACAGCAGGTGACGATCCAGACAAACACATCTGGGTTTTGGTTTCTCAAAACATGCTCCTCTTCTCTATCAAGTACCAAGTGGAAGTTTCTTAAAGACTTAAGAACAAACACGGCACATTTGAAAAATACTCTCACGGACTGGAATTCTGGGCTAAGTATTTCCATATTGTGGTTGGCAGAATGGGGCCCCCAATCATGCCCACGCCCCGATCCTCAGAACCCATGAGGGATACCTCCCATGGCAAAGGGGACTCTGCAGGTGTAAGTTTAAGACCCTGAGGTGGGAGAGCAGCCTGGGTTATCCAGGTGGGCCCAGGCTCATCACATGGGTCCTTGAGGAGGTTAGCCTTTCCCTGCTGTGGTCAGAGGGAGCCAGGGTTCCAGAAGCAGGGACAGCGATGCAATGGAGGAGGGGCCACGAGCCAAGGAATGCAGGTGGCCTCTAGAAGCTGGAAAGGGCACGGAAACAGATTCTCCCCTGGAGCCTCTAGAAGGAACGCAGCCCTGCCGACTCCTTGATTCCAGCCCAATAAGGTCCGTTTTTGGACTTCTGACCTCCAGAACTGTATGATGATATATTTGTGTTGAATTAAACCACTAAGTCAGAGTTTGTTACAGCAGCAATAGAAAACAAATACACATACCCTGTATTTTTCTCATTCAGTGGAAATTACTCAGGTCATTTGCAGGAAATAAATGTGATGTTTCGTTGCTTCTGCTGCTGTTTTACCTAATCCCTTATTTTTTATATCACAGTCAGGCACTCGATTATATCATAAATGAAAACGTTTAGTATGAGGCAAAATTTTGACTTGCAAAAATGAAAGTATCCTGCTGGAATGTGTGTATCTAATTTAACAGAAAGATCTAGAACGTGTTTATGCCTCTTAAACTGTAAGAGCACTTTAAATGGCTGCTTGCCTGCAGGGCTCCCGAATCTTCTCTCCATCAGAGGCAAGGCTGCTGCACCCCTGCTGGCATCGCTAGGACAGTGACTTCAAGCTGGTTAAGGACAGTCGAGAAAACCAGTACCAGAAAAGACGACCAATAACCAATTCACAGGAAAGAATTTAAAAGAAGGATTATTTTACTTATATTCTTCTTAACTTTGCATTTTTACACTAATTCAAATCTAATTTTGATATCTAAGGTTGAAGTAACAGGAAGTAAAATAGACCACCTTCTGCTCTCTGTCACAGTGGCAGTCAAGGCTGCTCAGTGGCATTCCTCTGTAGGAGGCTGGGCAGCCAACCCACACGTCACAGAGCAGGAAGCTGCAGCAAGAAAACGCCGCCTGCAGGGGGCGCCGTGTTGCCAACCTGAAACTCGGACAACGGTCCTCCAAAATGATGGCGATACCAGGACCCCAAAGCCCTCGCTGATGGACAGCGAAGTCCCAGGCGGCCTCCACAGCCAAGCAGTTCCCACTGGCTGAGCTGCACCATTCACCACCACCCAGGCTCCCCACCCACCCACCGCCCAGGCTCCCCACTGCCCAGGCTCCCCACCCACCCAC